GGCAGCGCTTTAAGGCAGGGCTCCCACGGTGATTTAAAGGGCCTGGAGCTCCATGGCAGCCAGATCCCCGGGCCCTTTAATTCACCCCTGAGCCACAGGGCTCCCAGCTGCCTCTGCAGCTGGTAGCTCTGAGGTGATTTAAAGGCCCTGGGGCTCCCAGCCGGCGCCCCAGGGCCTTTAAATCTTGAAAAGTCCCGCCTCTTCTGCTTGAAGCCACACCTCTTCCAGTTGAGGCCACGCTCCCACTCAGGACTCTGGCGTACCAGTAAGTCCTTTAAGTTACTTTCACCCCTGAGTTTAAGGCAGAAGGAATTTGGGAGGGTAGAGGTAGGGGAACTGGGAAAATGAGAGTATCACATTTCTTTTGACATTTAAATGATTTCAGAGTGTAAAACACATTTTTAAGCAAAACTCTTAAATATCCCCTCCCCTCCACCCTGCAACCATATTTGGAATTGAAATCCTCTAGAAATTTCTACTTCTTGTTGTACTTTGCTGTTGCCTTCTCTTTTTAACTAGCTGCATTGTCTGCCTACACTACAGGTAGGGTCACCGCTGGATGATTGGGGGCTAAGCAGTCTCCACTCATTCATTCTGCTCATTTCAATATATTGGTCTAAAGCTCCCGCACTTCAAAAACTAACACTATGCCACTGTAGAATACAGTTGCTATGTAACTGCACCTTCAGAGATTATAGCCATGTTTGGTATATTTCAGACAAACAATCCTTCATTCCTTATCTGATTGTGTTAATTCCACGTATCTATTTAACAACTGTGATGTTATTCTGTAGAACTCCTTGGTTTTGAAAAGCTGAATGAGCAGATAATATAGCTATACATTATGTACATTTCACATGATAATGTGATCAAAGGATAGAGCTCTTACAAATAGAGCAGATAGCTTATGTGGTTTTGCTAGCGCAGCTTGGTGGAATTGAGATTTTATTTTTATGAAGGCCCTAGACTGCTGAATGAATTTGCAAACAAAGACTGATTATTAACACGTAGAGGGTCACACGATTTTTGCTTCTGTAGACTGAGCACGTTGTACAAACTAAGGGCTAGACTACACTAGAAGCGCTACATCAGCGCATCTGTGCCGTATCTGGTGATGCAGATGAGAGAGAGCTCTCCTTGTATGCCCTCCACCCCATTACCCTCTGTTGAAGGGACTCCCTGCAACTTTCCCACCCCTTCTTTCATGCCAGGGGCTCAGTCCCCTTTCCCCACTGTGCGTGTCCAGTTGCCTCCCCCCCATGTCAGCAGCTCTGTGTGCACCCCTCAATCCCTATGCCCCCCTTCCCACCATGCCAGGGGCTTTGGGTGCCCCCCATCCTCCCTGTTCTCCATGCCAGAGGCTCTATATGCTGCTCATGTCCACCCTGCTTTGCCCTTGTCCCCCATTCTCCCTCCCCCACGGCAGAGGCTCTGTATCCTACCTCATTCTCCGCTTTCCTCCCCTCGCCACATGCTGGCTTCTCTTTTTTCCCCCCACCTCCCCATTCCATTGTTTCCCATTCTCTCAATGCCAGCAGCTCTGTGTGCTCCCGCCCCCCCTTTGAAGATGAATGATTCAGGGTGTCAACCTTTTAAAACTGAGATGGGGGTACTTTTATGCTGGAAGGTGCTAAAGCAGGGGTTGACAACCTTCGGTACGTGGCCCATCAGGGTAATCCCTGGTGGGCCATGCAGTGGCGTAGCCAGGATCCAAGAGCAGGGGGAGCAAACATAAAAAAGGCGCCCCCTCTTTGGCTCCTCCTCCGGCCACGCCCCCTCCTTGGCTCCTCCTCCGGCTGCTCCGCGCCCCGCCCCCTTGGCTGGCTCCTCTGGCTGTGCCGCCCCCCCCCCCTTGTCCGCTCGCCCCCCCCCCCCCCCCCCCTGTCGCCCCCCCCCCCCCCCGCTCTGCCCCCTCCGGCCGTGCCCGCCACCCCGGCACATTGGCTGCGGGCCGCCCTGCTATGCCCCCCCTCGCTCCTCAGGCCGCGGCTGCGGGCCGCCCTGCTGCGCCCTACCTCGCTCCCCTGGCCGTGGCTGCCGGCCGTGGCTGCGGGCCGCCCTGCTACGCCCCCACCCTCGCTGCTCCGGCTGCGGTTGCTGGCCACCATGCTACACCCCCCCTCGCTCCTCCGACCGCGGCTGCTGGCTGCCCTGCTGTGGCCCCCCATCGCTCCTCCGGCCGCGGCTGTGCGGGCCACCCCGCTGCGCCCCCCGCTTGCTCCTCCGGCCACGGCTGCTGGCCGCCCCACTGCGCCCCCCCCCCCCCCCCCCCCGCGGCGCCGCGGGCCGCCCTGCTGCGCCCCCCCTCGCTCCTCCGGCCGCGGTTGCCGGCCACGCTGTGCGGGCCGCCATGCTGCGCCCCCCCTCCCCCGGCTCTGCCTCTGCCTCCTCCTCCTCTGACCGCACCGGCCGCCCCCCCATTGGCTGCCGGCCGCGCTGCGGACCGCCTTGCTGCGCCCCCCCTCGCTCCTCCAGTCGTGCTGCCCCCCCCCCTTGCTTGCAGGTGTTCAGCACCGGCCGGCAGGCCGCCGCTTTTTAAAAACGTGCTGAGGGGAAGCGGCTGTTTCCCCTGCACCCCACTAGCTACACTACTGGGGCCGTGAGACATTTTGTTTACATTGACCATCCACAGGCACAGCCCTCCACAGCTCCCAGTGGCCGCAGTTCACCGTTCCGGGCCAATGGGAGCTGCAGGAAGCGGCGGCCAGCACGTCCCTGTGGCCCGCACCACTTCCTGCAGCTCCCATTGGCCGGGAACAGTGAACTGCAGCCACTGGGAGCTGCGGGGGGCTGTGCCTGCGGACGGTCAACGTAAACAAAACGTTTCATGGCCCGCCAGCGGATTACACTGATGGGCCACGTGCCGAAGGTTGCCGACCTCTGTGCTAATGGATGCAATCAACTGGTTCTTTGAGCTCCTTGCAGCTACCCCTTGGGAGCCCAACTGCCCCCTGGTCTTCTTGCCTCCATGCTCCCAGCCAGGAGCTGGGGGGCAGCCACCCGGGGCTTCTCACCTTTGGTGGGGAGATCCTCACCCCGAGTCCGGTCAGCTGCTGTACTCTAGGTGAGGAGCTGAGAACCAGGGGGGCAGCAGAGCCCCCACCTCAGGAATAGCCCAGAGAAGAGTTGTGCCTAATGGTTTGTCTACACACAAAAAGTGCATTGCAGTAACTAAATCAATTTAGAAACAGATTTAGTTAAATTGATACAGCTCCCTTGTGGGGACACACTTAAGTTGGCTCAAGTGGCTAATATAGAATTCAGTGAAAGAAGGGAACAGACATGAGACTGCCGGAGCTCCAAGACGTTGAAGCCAGCTGAGCCGAGGCTCCAACTGACCCCCAGCCACCTTCCACCACCAATGGAAAGGAGACGGTGGATGCTTTGAGACAGCCAGACTCGGAAGGAAGGGTAGGAAGTAGCCCAGGAGAACTAGACATTTCTCCAGTTGTGGAACTGGGGATAGACTCAGCATGTTTCGGGAACACCCTTGCTGAGCATGTGGTGGATACACTTGCCATGGACAGGGCGCTGGGCTGGGACTCCGTGGAGTAGGGAGGGTCTGGGTACCCGTACCATGGCTGCCACCCAACTCTGGGTCCCCTTGACCCTGGCCACTGGGCTGCACCGCCCTGGGAGGCAGGGCCACTACAGGAACATGGGAGATCAGGCCACTTGCGCCACCAAACCCCAATCTTAATTTCCCCACAACCCGGCACTCCCCTGATGGGGGTACCTAGCCCGCAACAGTGCAATTTAGTTTTCCTCCATCCCGCCCCCTGTCTTCTCTAATTTATGCCAGCAACTGGCTTTGTGCCAGGATGGCCCCAAGACTGGGAGAGCATTTCTTGGCCACAGTTCAGGATCTCAGTCTATACTGGTGTATGTTAATTATGCATTTGTGGAGCTTGAGGTTTTGTGAACCTCTCATACTACTGATCAAAAGCTAGTTGTAATTCCTGAATATTTTCTACTTGTAACTTAAACCCAGTCTTGTAAAAATGTGCCACAGAATCTTTAATGGCTTCACACAGTCAACTTTAGTTTTATATTTCATAAGAGACAGCACTGCCACAGTAATTAGAGGTGCAGAGTTGTACTGCCTCAGAGAGAGCTCCATGGTGTGCAGAGAGGGTACAGACACTCCTACAACCCTTATGCAACATAGTCCCCTGTGCAA